TTTTTGAGACAGGGTCTCCCTGTAGCCCCAGCTGTCCTGGAACTCACTGTGTAGACCAGGGTGGCCTTGAACTCACAGAGATCCGCCTGCCTCTGCCTCCCAAGTGCTGGGACTACAGGTGTGTGCCACCACGCCCGGCTTTTATTTATTTTTTAATCTTTTTAAAGGACAGGCTCTCACTGTGTTGCCCAGACTAGTGTAAAACCTCCTAGGTTTTCTAGCAATTCTCCTACCTCAGTCTCATGCTTGCTTGGGTTTCTTTTTCCTTTTTTTATTTGAGACAATTTCCCTCAGCCCAGCTGGCCTGGAACGCAGAGATCTGCCTGCCTCTGCCCCTGAGCGCTGGGATTACAGATGTGTACCACCATGCCCAGCTTGGGCTTCTTTATAAGATATTCCTATAGGCAATGATAGCTGAGTCTGGAGTTACGTACATTTTTAGCTATAATAATGTCTGTTAGATTGGTCTCCAAAAAAGCTATGCCTGGCATGACGGCACATACCTTTAATCCCAGCACTCAGGAGGCAGAGGCAGGCAGATCTGAGTTTGAGGCTAGCCTGGTTTGAGGCTAACAATGGCTACATAGTGAGATCTTGTCTCCAAAAAAGTGTTTTGTTTTGTTTTGTTTTTTTTTCTCTTCGTCTTTTTAAGACAGGGTCTCCCTGTAGCCCCAGCTGTCCTGGAACTCACTATGTAGACCAGGCTGGCCTTGAACTCACAAAGATCCACCTGCCTCTGCCTCCCAAGTGCTGGGATTAAAGGCGTGCGCCACCTTTAAAGCAACACCTGTAATCTCTGTCTGTCTTGACCAATAGTTTATGAAATTATTTCACACCAATGAATAAATTTTTACTTGATAGGTAAATTGTATCTTATTTTTGCTTAATTTCTGAGTGACTGCAGGCTTTAGCATTTTCAGTACATTGATTGGCCTTATGTGCTGTTTCATTAGATGTTTATAGCCTCCTCTTCTAATTTTATTTTTACAGTGACAGTAATACCTTTAGTAACACCTTTTTTTTTTTTAACCATTTGGGAATTGAGCATTTTGCAAACTGCATATACAGGATAATTTGATCTCTGGGGGCATTGTACAGCACAGGTGCACTTACACATATGCAGGCAATACATTCATATACATAAAAAGTGAAATACATAAATTTTTATTTTATTTTATGTGTATGCATGTATTGCCTGCATGTAGGTAAGTGCACCCATGTCATGCAATGCCCACGGAGGACAGAAGAGGCCGTCAGATCCCCTGGAACTGTAGTTACAGACATGGGTGCTGGGATTTGAACCTGGGTCTTCTGCAAGAAAAACCAATGTTCTTAACAGCTGAGCCATCTCTCTAGCCCCAAAATACATAAAATATACTTTTTTTTTTAAAGAGAATAGATCTTCAGTGATAGGAGGGAGCTAGTTTTCAGTAAAGTGCTTGCAACACAAGCTTGAAAAAAATAAGGGTTTGGCCCCAGTACCCATATTTTTAAAGTACCCCCTCATAATCCTAATGCTGGGGAAGAAAAGGCAAAAGGATCCCTGGGGCTTTCCAGCATACTAGCATAGCCTAATCAGTGAGCTTCAGCTCCAGTGAGAGACTTTGTCTCTGAAAAATAAAAATAAAGTGAAAATCAATTATAGAAAACACCTGATGCTGACCGGGGCAGGGTGGAGGGATGTCTTCAGGAACACCCCCACATCAAATGTGCACACATATATATACACACAGATGTACTCACAGTAGCACTCTCTTACAGGTTGTCCTTCAAAGGAGTATGGAGCGAGTGCAGTCCTTTTTTCTGAGAAACAAGTGCCGTCTTCCTCTCAAACCAAGTCTGGTAGCAAAAGAATTAAATATCAAGGTAACACAATGCTAGCAAGTTTACTGTGCATAAAAAAAAGCAGCTGGGGTTCTGGAGAGATGGCTCAGCGGTTAAGAACACTGGTTGTTCTTGCAGAAGACCCAGGTTCAAATCCCAGCACCCACATGGCAGCTAACAACTGTCCGTAACTCCAGTTCCAGGGGACCCAATGGCCTCTTCTGTCCTCCACAGGCATTGCACAACACAGGTGCACTTACCTACATGCAGGCAATACACACACATAAAATAAAAAAAATATTTTTTTAAAAAAGTTAAGTATTCGGTTTTTTTGAGACAGGGTCTCTCTGTAGCCCCATTTGCTATGTAGACCAGGCTGACCTTGATTGCATAGAGATTCCCCCTACCCCTGTGCTGGGACTTAAGTTTTATTTTAAAATAAAATTTTTGTAGCTCCATGATCAAGTGCCTGCTTGGCAGGTACAAGGCCTGATTTCAATCCCTAACCCTACAAAAAAACAATAAATAAAATACAATGTGATCTTTTGGCTAGTGAAATTATTCAGGTTTTGGTCAGCATTTGATTCCGTGGATAATGAATTCCACTAGCCCTGTAGTTAGAAATGGAGATCAGGATGAGTGCCACAGAACTTTGTCTCCTATTGAGCGATTAGGACATTTAAAAGCTAGGCAGCCTTTAAAAGTGTACTCTGAGTTTTTAAGTTTTTGCTTTTAGAGAGAAGCTATTTTACTCATGTTATACCTAATTTTTGAAAGATACTTAACATATCCATATGTTATTTCGTTTTCTGTACTTCAAAGTAACAAGTGAAAGGGATAAGAAATTGAACTTGGTTTTATTCCAGTTGTTACCTTTCTAATGCTCAGTGTTGTTTGCAGTCCTGTTCATTCTTCAGTTCTAATGCTGTGCCTCTGAAAGTCACAATGGTCAATGCTGATCCTCTGGGGGAAGAAATTAATGTCATGTTTAAGGTGAGAAAAGTAGGGTTAGTCTTTGGTTCTTGTTTCTTGCTTCTTGCTTTTAACATATCTTACTGTATTGCCCTGGCTCATGTTAAATTCCTGGACTCAAGTGATCTTGCTCCTTGTGTCTCCCAAATGCCTGGAACTATAGGTTTGCACCATGTGTCCAGATAGAGATAGGCCACCTTTAAAAGAGGGAGGGGAGAGGAGGCTGGAGAAATGACTCAGCAGTTAAGAGCACTGGGTGCTCTTGCTGAGGACCCACATTCTATTCCCAGTACCCACATGGCAGCTAACAACTGTCAGTAACTCCAATTTCAGGGAATCCAATGCCCTTTTCTGGCCTCCACAGGCTGTGCATGACACAAGCACACTGGCATACACGTAGACAAAGCACTCATACACATAAACTGAAAATAAATCCAAAGGGTGGGGGCTGGAAAGATTTCTCAGCAGTTAAGAGCAGGCTACTCTTGTAGAGGACCTGGGTTTGATTCCCAGCACCCACATGGTAGCTAACAGCCATCTGTAACTCCAGTTCCAAAGGATCCAGTGCCCTCTTCTTCCTTAGGCACCATGCACACAGCTAGTGCACACATATACATATAGATATTCATACATACACATAAAATAATTTTTTAAGTTTAAAAGTTCCATTTAACAAATTCCTTTTCCAAAATGACAAGGTAATTTGCTTATTAAATACTTGAGTTGAGTCGGTAATATTTAAGTTGGTGACACACACCTGAAAATCCTCATGGTCAGGAGGTGTAGGAACAAGGATCACAAGTTCCAGGTCAGCCTGGACTATGAGACTCTGTCTCAAAAAACAAACCATGGAAACTGGCAAGATGACTCAGTGGATAAGAGCACTGACTGCTCTTTCAGAGGACATGGGTTTGGTTCCCAGCACCTACACAGTGGCTAGCAACATTCTGTAACTCCAGTTCTAGGAGATCCAACACTGTCTTCTAGTCTCCACAGGCACTAGGCATGTACATGGTGCACATGCATATGTGCAGACAAAGCAGTCATACACATAAATAAAAAAAAATCTTTGGGAAAAAAAAAAAAACAGCGGGAACAATTTAGGTTTAGTAATTATATGAAAATTATTAATGACACAAACTGTTCCAAATAGGTTTGGAGATAAATGCAACTCCAGAACAGAGCTTGCCACAGTGCCCACATTGGTTAAGCAGTTACAACTCGGCATACTAACTGTAATGTGATCGACACCCTCTAGGTTTGCCAGGCTGCATAACTGCAAAACCATGAGCAGTGGCACTGGTTGAGGGATTGCTTGCTTCTTAAGACAGAGTCTCACAGTATAGTCCAGACTGGGCTTGAACCCTGGATTGTCCTGCCTCGGCTTCCTCAGTGCTGGGGTTCTAGGGGTATACCACTATGCCTGGCTGCTGGACTTTGGAAACAGGGTTAACCTGTGCAAAGCAGAAGGACTGGAGTGTTAGGAATCTATTACCTGTCAATTGTCATCATAATTTGTGTATCTTCAAGAAAGAATAGTTCTGGTTAATTCACTAAAGTGGTTAGAGATTCATAGTCTAAATTGAACCTCTCAAATTAAGTTTCCATATACTCAGGTCTGGTTTGGGACATTATTTTGTTTCACTGATGGCAAGTGCCTTTTCTTAAAACAGTACCATCTGTTTTACGCCTTTAATACAAGCACTCGGGAGGCAGAGATAGGTGGATCTGAGTTCGTGGCCATCCTGGTCTCCATAGCAAATCCAGGCCAGCTGGGGCTATAGGGAGACCCTATCTCAAAGACCAAAAAAAAAAAATATTTACAGTTCAGCAGAGTGTGGCTCTGTGGTAGAGTGCTTTTTTAGTGTGTACAATACCAAGGACTCAGTCTCCAGCACATCATAATTAATTAATGAAAATAAAATACACTCTTCAGGAAATGGAGGTATGATGTATTAGATAATTTCCTCTAGGATAATGTGTAAGAATAAAATGCAGATTTTTTTTTTTTTTTGAGATTGCATTGAGTCTGTAGGTTGCTTTAGGTAGTATGGTCATTTTCACCTTGGTCATTCTTTTGATTAATAAGCATGGGCGGTCTTTCCATCTTCTAGTGTTTTCCTCAAAGTTTTTATTATAGAGAGCTTCCTTTTTTTCCTTTTTTGTCCTTTTGAGACAGGGTCTCCCTGTAACCAGCTGGCCTGGAACTCACTCTGTAGATGAGGCTGGACTCAAACTCACAGAGCTCAAAATGCAGATCTTTTATCACTTCTCTCTTTACTACAAATGTTCCTGAGATTCTGTAGCATGTGATCTATCAAGTGTTTGGAATGGTCCAATTTTTAAAAATTCATTTCATGAATTTCAAGGTCGGTGAAGATCTCCGGCAAGATATGTTAGCTTTACAGATGATAAAGATTATGGATAAGATCTGGCTTAAAGAGGGACTGGATCTGAGGATGGTAATATTCAGATGTCTGTCAACTGGCCGAGATCGAGGTAGGTCTTTTAGTTGGACCTTGGTATCTTCTATTTAAATCATCTTCGAAGCATTTCATGGGCCTGGGATTAAAACAACTCAGTGGGTAGTCCTGATACACAATCTCATTGTCTTACCCCATTTTGATTTCATTTTCACAGAATAAAATACTGTTAGGGTTTTATTCACCTGTAAGAGCAACTTTTTATCTTACTACTCAGTTGATAAATTTTTCAGTTTTATCACTTGTGTGTGTGTGTGTTTTGTACATGTGGAGGTCAGAGAACAACTTTCAGAGTCACTCCCCTTTCTACCATGGATTCTCAGAATGAGACTGAGCCATCTTGCTAGCCATTATTTGATGAGTTTTTGAAATAAGGTTAGACAGTTCATTATGTGATACATATTACATGTTCAACAAATGCCACCTTCATCATAGATGGGTGTCTCCCATCTATAAAACGATACTGTGGAATAATGAGACTCATTCTTGATGTATTTTTTTTATGCGTGGATCTATTGACAGACTACCATACAGGTAAGTTGTATCTCACTTAGAGACATCCAGTATTGTGGCTCCAGGATCACTGAGATACTCATCTCCACTAAGGTGGAAGACTGCCGAGATGGCTCAGCAGGTTAGAGCACTAAGCCTGACAACCTGAGTTTGATCCCAGGAATCTGCACAGTAGAGAGAGAGAATTGATTCTCATAAGTTGTCCCCTGACACACTGCCCCACATTCCATGGCACGTGTACGTACGCATTCACAAGCACATGGGCACACAGACAAAAATCAGTCAATAAATGTAATTAAAATATTTTTTAAGTAAGGTTGAGAGTGATAGAGGAAGACTACCTCTGGCCTTCACATGCATGCATACGTGCTCACACAATAATGTATATATACTATACAAATCAACCTGGATACTTTTTCAAAATAAGGTGGTAATTTTTGTTGCCCATAATTTTCAGTATGAACTACTGGATATCAAGGATTGAAAGCTATATATATATTTTTTTTTGTCTTTTTGAGACAGGGTCTGTAGCCCCAGCTCTCCTGGAACTTACTATGTAGACCAGGGTGGCCTTGAACTCACAGAGATCTGCCTGACTCTGCCTCCCGAGTGCTGGGATTAAAGGTGTGCACCACCACTCCCGGCTAAAGCTATAATTTTTTAAGAAATATTTTTTATTTTATGTGTATGAGTGTATTGCCTGCATGTGTGTAACTGCACCTGTGTCGTGCAGTTCCCACAGAGGACAGAAGAGTAACTCTCCTGGAACTGGAGTTACAGTTGTTAGCCACTATACGGGTGGAACCCCAGTCCTCTGCAAGAGCAACCAGTGGTCTTAACTGCTGGGCCATCTCTCCAGCTCCCAAAGCTGTAAGTTTTTTAAAGATTTACTTTTGGGACACATTTTCACAGAGCTTGATATTTTATTGTTAAAGGCATGGTGGAGCTAGTTCCTGCTTCAGACACGCTCAGGAAAATCCAAGTGGAATATGGAGTGACGGGATCCTTTAAAGATAAACCACTTGCAGAGTGGCTGAGGAAGTACAATCCTTCTGAAGAAGAATATGAAAAGGTGATTAGCATGCTTCATGGTCTATTTGAGATAGGGTCTTCTTGTTGCCCCAGCTGGTCTGGCACTCACTAAGTATGTAGCCCAGTCTGGCCTTGAACCCAGAGATCTGCCTGCCTCTGTTGGGATTAAAGGCATGCTTCTTTATTTTTTTTAACTTCTAAAAAAAAAAAATGTACTGAGAATTCATTCATGCATGTAAGATGTTTGGATCAAATCCATGCCCACTCCCTCCCCTCCAACTCCTCCCATATCTCCCCATCACTTTTTTCTAACAACTTCATGTTCTCTCTCTCTCTCTCTCTCTCTTTTGTAATAGGGCTTTTTGCTACTCTAACACTCCCCGTCTGAAGAGGTAACCCTAAAATCTTTTAGGGATTAGATAGGAGCTCCGAAATACTTTTGACATTTTTAACCTTTGGATCAGAGTATGTTGCTAAAAGGTCCAAGGACATTTTGATTTTTAGCCAAGAAACTGGCTACTTTTCTTTGGTTTTTTTTTTACCCTAACTGCCTAGACAGTTCCTACCTCCTGTTCTTATCACCTCATTTCTGATAGGGAAATGGGACACAGACCACTCTGGCTTCTTCCATGCTGAACAGGTAGGTATGCAGGATGAGGCAATTGGAGTACCCCTTCAGTGGATCTATCTAAAAGACTCCCAGATTGCATAACTCTTAACTGTAGGGAGAAAAGAAATTCCTTGACTGGTGCTTAGGAGATGTGAAGGAGAAGTAAAGGTAGTTAGCATTACAAGTTCTAGACGGGGAACCAGAAAAAAGTCAAAACAGGGCAAATTTCAAATGTTCATATCAGAGTCCATTGCGATTTCTTGATGAGCGTTTCCAAAAGCATCCCTCCATTGGGTTCCTCCTCATTTTTCTTTTGTCTGCCAAAGCCAGACTTGAGAGTGATGGACTCAGCATTTGTTTTCAGGCACTTTGATAGCTGTTGGAGTCCCTAAAATCAGTGTCAGTTCCTTGCAAAGGCTTCAAGATAGGGGGAGAAAACAAATTTAGCCATCATTTTAGAACAATAGTGGGTTGTCTCCCTTAGCTACAGTTGGGCACTACATTGTTGCAGACCGAGATTTGAAGTCTTACATCTGAGCAGCACTTTGTGATTAGAAACAAAATCATTGACGAGAAATAATTGTCTAAATAACATTTTATATGGTCTTAAGTCTAATGTCTGGGAAGTGTAATCCCTTGAACTCTTAAAGAATTATACTGATGACTTTGCTCTTTGGTTATATTTTCCTTTTGGGTGTTTAAGACCATATAGTTGGCCCCCAAAAAACAGCTTATTTTTACTCTTAAGGTAATTTGAGGATCTTTTCCTCAGGGGTCACAGGGGCTTAGGTGCCCCTGGCTCCTTTTACCAGGTCCATCTATTTGAAACTCAGTCAAAGGTCCTGCTTGACCGTGGCTGGCTTCACTTGGAAATGTGGAAGAAATGTTTCCTCTGTGTTGACTCTCCTCTTTGTAGACTGGGCACTTGTTCAAGTCCATCTGGTGGGGTCTCCATGGCCTCCCTGAACAAGAGGACAGGTGACTCACCACAGTTACAGGACATTTTGAGAGATGCTCCATAGTCCCCTAGAACTTAGTTGACCTTGGAGGGCAAGGAGCAAAAACTGTCCTTTAAATCCTTCTGACCAGATTAGTAGAGGCCTCAAAGTATGGCTGTTAAACATCCAAGAAAGCTAGTTCTACCAGTCTGGTACTTTTAATTACCATGTGCTATGTAGATAAGTTTGGGCTAAAGCCAAGTGTTCTCAGATAAGCCTTGACTAGACATATATTTTGTTCCTTAAACTAGTTGACTAAACTATGACCTTAGAAATTTTAAGATTATGTGTATATTATTTTTGTCTCATCCTTTATATATCATAACAAACCTATGCAGACCTTCACCACTTGCTTAGTCTTTCTCATTTTTTTCTATTTTGGAAAAAATCTTCATTCCCATATCCTTTTAATATCTTTTTACATTCTCATTTTCTTTTTTAATAATTATGAGACATAATAACATTAACAAGTTTTCTGCTTGGTGTGTTGGCACACTCCTTTAACCCCAGCACTTGGGCGGCAGAGGCAGGCAGATCTCTGAGTTCAAGGCCAGCCTGGTCTACATAGTGAGTCCCAGGCCACCTGGGGCTATAGGGAGACCCTGTCTCAAAAAAACCAAAAAAAAAAAAACAACCCCCAAAACAAATTTTCCATCTGTTGTGAGAATTCCTTTCCTGGGGATACTAAGCAATGTTTATCCACTTCTAAGGTTCTAGTGTCAAACCAGTGTTTAAAGTTTTCCTGGGGAACCAGTGAATTTACTTACTCCACACTCCCTCCCACATGCCCTAATTATTAGGAGCATCAATTTTTTTGTTGGGCATACTTTTGGTGGCGCACACCTTTAATCCCAGTACTGGGGAGGCAGAGGCAGGCAGATCTCAAGGCCAGTCTGGTCTCCTTATTGAGTTCTAGGCCATTCAAGACTCTGGGAGGAAGAAGAGGAAGAGAGGGAAGGAAGGAGGGGCAGGAGGGAGGAGGAGGGAAAGGAAGAAAGAGGAGAAGGAAGGAGGCAAACCAATATGTACACAGTAAATACAAGTATTTACTGTGTACTTATCTCAGATGGAAGGCCTGTCATAATGTTAATATTACTTAAGACTCACAGTCACTTTGAATGGTGATAGAAGAAGACCCCAGGTTTGGTGGGGTTTTTTTTTTGTTTGTTTGTTTGTTTTTTCCTTAATTATTAGCTTTTAAAGAATTAGGTTTTGTTATGGCTTTTTTTTTTTTTCCAAACAAAATTTGTTTTTGTTAATTCTTCTCCCCACCCCTGCCTTTGCCTTCCTCCTACCTCCTCATGCCCTCCTTTGGAAAAGATCCCAGTTTTAATGTCATTTACTGTCTAGTTTAGGTGCCATTAGTGTATTACAAGACATAAAAGTGCTATCTGTTGAATCATGAAAATTAAAAGACCTACAAAGTATAATATCCTTTTAAGTGTTAGGTCAATCCTTTTTCTTAATTCTTTGTGGTCCTGGGAAGAATTACAGAAGAAAACTATATTTCTTTATAGTGATATTGACTTGTGATTACTGGTGGGCTATTCAACAAAAAACAATTGTCCAATAGCATGCATTAAGTACTTTTAATACATTTGACTTTTTGTTATTTAATGAGTGAGAAAAAATATTGTACAGTGGAGTCATACTGCCTGGGTTGGAATTTGGCTTTGCTGCCTCTGTAATCATGTGATCTTGGCAAGCACAGTAAGTAGCCTTGCTGTTTCTGTTTTATTCATTTATGAAATGGCATCATGGTACCTAAGTTATTGATTTGTTGTAGAATTTCTTAATGTATAAAAGGTTTGTGATGAATATTACATAAATATTTATGTAATATATTTGGTGTTACCATTATCATTGGTAATGATTTCTGGAGAATGATAGAATGAAAACCACCTAAACTAGTAGAAGTATATGACTGCGGCCACTTAGAAATACAGTATTTTGCCAGTATCAGCATTGTGGTACAGACCTGTAATCCCAGTCTTGGTATGCTGAGACAGGAGGATTGTGAGTTTGAGGATAGCCTGGGGTAAACAGCAGCACCGGTCTGAAAAATAATCACAGTATTTTGAGAATAAATGTACATGCATTATATAAAAGTATTTACTGTATACATCTTACATGCTATGTGTACTTTTGTATATATTAGTAATTCCCAGGACAGGCAGGTCCAACTAAAAACTGGTCTAGCCTTGAGAATCTTATAGATACATAGACATCAAATGGTAAAATCAAATTGCATTAAATATGTTAGTGGATGTTTTGAGATAGAAGTTAACCCTTTTTATGATGTTAAGGATAGAATCTAGTTCTCATACATGCTAGACAAGAACCAAGCTATATATTCTGCAAACCCCTAAACTCATTTTTTATTATGTTAATTTATGTGTATGTATGCAAATATGTTGTATTTTGGGGTTGGATGGTTGTACATGATGCTACTACACATGGGTGGAGGTCAGAGAATAACTTTTAGGAATTGGTTTTCTCCTGTCATGTAAGTCTCAGAGATTGAACTCAGGTTGTGAGACTTGGTGGCAAATACCTTTACCTGCTGAGCCAACTTGCCAGCCCATAAGCTAACTGACTTCCTCCTCTTCCCTTCCCCTTCCCCTTTCTCCGTCCTCCTTTCCTTTTTTCCTCTGTCTTTAGAGAGAGAGAGAGAAAGAGAGTGAGTTTGCCGTGTGTATGCAGGTGCTCATGGAGGCAAGAAGGAGGGCATCAGATCCCCTAAGTCCTGAAGTTAAAGATAGTTATAGCCAGCCAAGCGGCTTGAACCAGAGTCTTGTGTATACTAGGCAAGCACCGGATAATTATTGCCCCAATGATATTTATCTACAAATATGATGTGTAAAAGCTGGTCACAGGCAGTTCATACTCTTTAGGAGGGCCTGGTAGGATCCATGCCTGGTACAAGACAAAGCTAGAGAGGTAGCATTAACTACCTTTTAATAGGGCATTTTGCTTTTGAAATATGAAAAGGGCTGGATTTTATTTCCATACCCATTTTGTGTGCTGTTGAGTAGATTGCGATAGTGGGTGGTTTTACTGGTTTTTTTTTGTTGTTGTTTGTTTGAGACCGGGTCTGATTAGGTAGCGCTGGCTGACTCAAAACTCTGTTTAGACCAGGCTGGTCTCAAACTCACAGAGATCTGCCCCCCGCCCCCCAAGTAAAAGTATATACCACCAGCTAGTGTTTTTATCTTATTTATTTATATATCTCTTTAAATTACCGTATTTGGGCTTCAAAATCTCATTCTAACTGGCCTAGAACTCACAGCAGTCCTTCTGCTTCTGCCTCTTGAGTACTAGATTATAGATGCTGAGTACTAGATTATAGATGTGAGCTCCCCATGCCAGCTCTGCAGTTGTGCTTCAAAAGAATGATGAGTGACCTCATACCGTATGAACACTGCCTCCTCTAAAAATGCTTTTTCTCTTAAATTTCATGTCTGTTTTTCAGGCTTCCGAGAACTTTATCTATTCTTGTGCTGGATGCTGTGTAGCCACCTACGTCTTGGGTATTTGTGACCGACACAATGACAACATAATGCTCCGAAGCACGGGACACATGTTCCACATTGACTTTGGAAAGTTTTTGGGCCATGCCCAGATGTTTGGTAGCTTCAAAAGGTATGTTGTTAACATCACTGAAGAGATGTCATGCTTTGCCTCATGGCTCCTTCTAAACAGAACTAGGGGTGGAAAAGGTCCTAAGAGAAGAGATGACCTTACCATGTACTGACTATCAGTATGTATATAGATTTTGCTGCAGTAAATGGACATGTATTCTGTTTACTCTACTTCGTGGCACTTTTTAGAAATGGTTCCATTTGTATAATGTCAACAAGTCAAAAAATTTTCTCTCCATATCTTGGTAACCGTTGTTGAATTTCTCTTTGGGCATATAGGTTTATAAATACCACTTTTGAGAAAATATTACATGTAAGTTCTGTCCCGCTAATGAGGTTCCTGTGTGATAGTTCTCCTCAAAATGTGAATTATGGAAGTTGAAAACTGCCTGATACTGCTTCCTACTTAGAAATTGCTTTAGCCCACATGGCTTAGTCTAATGACCTTTAACAGCAAGTGTGACAACTCAGTATGTGCGTATGTTTGGCAGATATGCTCTGTGTGTACTTTCAACAGGGATCGAGCTCCTTTTGTGCTTACCTCTGACATGGCGTATGTCATCAATGGCGGTGAAAGGCCCACCATTCGTTTCCAGTTGTTTGTGGACCTCTGCTGTCAAGCCTACAACTTGATAAGAAAGCAAACAAACCTCTTTCTTAACCTCCTTTCCCTGGTAACTATCTTCTTTACAAACATTGAATTTTATGTTAGCACATCTATGTTTTAACTTTAAAAAAAAATATTTTATTTATTTATTTATTTATTTATTTATTGGTCTTTTTGAGACAGGGTCTCCCTGTAGCCCCAGCTCTCCTGGAACTCACTATGTGGACCAGGCTGGCCTTGAACTCTGCCTCCCAAGTGCTGGGATTAAAGGCGTGCGCCACCACGCCCAGCCCTTATTCATTATTTTTATTTTATGTGTCTGCATGTATTGCCTGAATGTATGGAAGTGCACCTGTGTCTTGCAATGCCCACGGAGGTCAGAAAAGGGTGTCGGATCCCCTAGAACTGGAGTTACGGACAGTTGTTAGCTGCCATGTGGGTGCTGGGATCTGAACCCGGGTCTTCTACAAGAACATTCAGTGTTCTTAACTGCTGAACCTGTTTTAACATTTTTTTTAAAGGATATTTTATGTTATAGTCATAAGTGTCAAAATTTTACTGAAATATTTTTAGATTATTACTATGTAAAATAAATCAGAGAGTACCCAGAGTCTGATTCCATGGCTTAAGTGCAGACTCAGTCAGTAGAGTAGTGACCCTGGGTGGAGAGGAGTAGAACCTGAAGCTTAAGGAAGGGCGCCTGGGCTGCTGGTGAGTGAGCACTCGTTTGTGCGCGTGTGCCTATGTGCTCATGTCTCCATCTGAGATCAGATAGTGAACACTGACCACAATGGATCTTAGGATTTCTGTGCTTTCTAGGATGTGTGGTAAACTTAAGTTCAAAAGAACAAGGGTGCTATAATAACTGTGACTGGGATCGCTAGAAGGGCAATCTGGACTTCACAAGCTTTACTCCATAAATGGGCCTTGACTTCTCATTGTAAGTTACTTAGGATCCCCAGGACATTAAGGAACCCCTCAAAAGTCATTGTTTTTGTTTTCTTTAGTTCTAAGTACTTGACCAGAAGAAAAGTAAACTTTTTTTTTTTTCCTTTTACAGATGATTCCTTCAGGGTTACCAGAACTCACAAGCATTCAGGATTTGAAATATGTTAGAGATGCATTACAGCCCCAAACCACAGATGCTGAGGCCACAATTTTCTTCACTAGGTATGGCCTGTGTATTTTAAGTGCGTCATTGAAGATTTGTACACTTTAGTTTTGATATACTTCACCTACTACGGATAAATGAGAGTTACCAAAATTCTGATTTGTTTTTCATTTTTTTTCCTCTAAATGTCAAGGAACTGGAGATATAGCTCAGTGGTTTATATGGTTCTTATAGGACTCAAGTTTGGTTCCCTGCATCAATGACTGGTGACTCACAACTGCCCGTAACTTCAGCTCCAGAGAATCCAGTGTCTCTAGCCTCTACAGGCACCTATACTCACGTGCACATATCCACACACAAATGTAGACATACACACATACGCAGAATTAAGTAAAATAAATCTTTAGAAAAAAGATAGCTGTTAAGAATTTAGAGTTGGATGTAGTAGTTTGTGCCTATAATTTCAGCCTTTGGGAGGCTGAGACAGAAGGATCATAAGGTCAAGGCCAGCTTGGCCGGTTTAACAAGACCTTGTCTCAAAATAAGGGCCAGGCATGGTGGCACATGTCTTTAATCCCAATACTTAGGAGGCAGAAGCAGGTAGATGAATCTCTGTGAGATTGAGGCTAGCCTGGTCTACATAGTGAGTTCCAGGCCAGCTGGGGTTACAGGAAGCCCTTGTCTCAAAAAACAAACAAACAAAAAAAATCAAAAAGGGCTAGGGATATTGGTCAGGAGTCAACTGCTTGTCCTAGCCTGTGAGGCCCTGAGCTCAATCCCAGGCATGGAAAGAAAAAATTAGTTACTGACTAAATATAAGCATTACTCTCAGGGTATCAGCTCAAGATTTTCTTTTTTGGTCTTTCTGAGACAAGGTCTCCCTGTAGCCTCAGCTGACCTGGAACTCACTACGTAGACCAGGCAGTCCTTGAATGCACAGAGATCTGCCTGCCTCTGCCTCCCAAGTCCTGAGATTAAAGACGTGCACCACCACGCCCTGCTCATCTCAAGATTGTTTAGTGCATGATTTCAATTATATGAATCCTGTTTATGAACATACTTCTGAGAAACATGTTTTTTCACAGTACCAATCTTAAAGTGATTTCTTCAAGCTATTTTTTCCAGATTCTACCATAATGACCAGGCGTGGTGGCACATGCCTTTAATCCCAGCTTGGGAGACAGAGACAGGCAAATCTCTATGAGATCAAGGCCAGCCTGGCCTACATAATAACAGGCCATCTAGGTTTATATAGTGAGACCCTGTCTTAAAACAACGAACAAAAACCAGTAAGATTCTACCATAACAGTTTTTCCATATGCCGAAAGACCAGTAGCAGACTCTGGTCCACTAGTTTAGTACATCGTGACTTTACTGAGGCCCTTGCCAGTGAGTGGCTGGATTTCAATGTCATTGTTACTCTAAATTAAAACAGATCCTACATGTTCTCAAGATGAGTGGCCATATTGTTCACTGACCTCTGCTGTCATGTCATCACGGCAGGGAGGTTATGCACTTAAGGTATTCACTACCACACCCAGCCATGAGATGCTCTGTAACAGGTCTTTGGCCTAAAGAACAAAGAATACTTGGCAGAGTGAGAATCTACTTAATATTTTGCTTTTTAAATTTGTTACTGTTTATTATGTGTGGGTACATACTGCCCAGTTGTATAGAGGTCAGGGGACAATGTAGAGGAGTAGGTTCTCTCCTTCTACACTGTGGGTCCCAGAGATTGAACTCAGATCGTCAGAATAGCCAGTAAGGGACTTTACCTGATGAGCCACTTCACTAGCCCCTGCTTAATATTTTAAAGGAAACTGTTTTCATCTTTTATTATCTTGAAAGAACTTAGCATGTGTCCTTATGAAAGTTTACTGCTAACAAGTTTTCTGATGATTTTGTAGGCTGATTGAGTCAAGTTTGGGTAGCATCGCCACGAAGTTTAACTTCTTCATTCACAACCTTGCTCAGCTGCGTTTTTCTGGCCTGCCTTCTAATGATGAGCCCATCCTTTCATTTTCACCAAAAACATACTCTTTTAGACAAGATGGTCGAATCAAGGAAGTCTCTGTTTTCACATATCATAAGAAATACAACCCAGATAAACATTATGTAAGTTTGGTTTCGATGTTTGTAGATAATCATGTATAAGGTTTTTTGTCCTTTGAACATATTTCACTGACTGCTACAGTTGGTTCTGTTCATGCTTGCTGCTTCCATGGACAACGCCAAAATAACCAAATGAACCTGAAGAATCTCTGAAGTTTCAAAAAAAATTCTGTATTATTAAATTTGTTTTAAAATCATGATGGCCAAAATGTATTCTTTCTTTTCATATCAGGGAGTGCCTTGTTCTCATTCCTTCCATCTTTTTCTAGTATCAAAGGTGAATCTTGCTATAACAGATTCAATCAATACAATTCAAAAAGCTTATGCATCTACTTTCCAATACAGTATTTATGTTTGTTTATTATGTATCACTGGGAATCAAACTGAGGGCCTTAATGCAAGGCACATACCCACTTAAAGCTTGTTTTTAAACAAAGACAGGATTTTCATTGTTTTTCCCACTGAGAAAATGTATAACATTAAATTTGCTTTTTTTTGGAGGGGGGTCTGTTTGAGACAGGGTCTCCCTGTAGCCCTAGCTGGCCTGGATTTGCGATGGGGACCAGGCTGGCCTCGAACTCAGAGATCCACCTGCCTCTGCCTTCCGAGTGCATCTTTGCTATTTTTTAAAAAATATTTTTTTTAGCTTTTTAAAAATGTTTTATTATTTTTATTTTATGTGTATGAGTATTTCCTGCATGTATATGTATGTCATGCAGTGCCTCGGAGGTCAGAAGAGGCCTTTGGATTCCTCTGGAACTGGAGTTAAGGACAGTTCGTAGCCACCATGTGGGTACTGGGAATTGAACCCGTGTCCTCTGCAAGAGCAATCAGTGCCCTTAACTGCTGAGCCATCTCTCCAGCCCCCAGCTTTGCTACTTTAAATCACTCTCTTGCTAATTTTTTTTTCTTCTTTTCCATGCTGAGAATTGATCCCCAGGATGTCAGGCCTGCTAGACAAATACTTCAGCACTAGCCTCTGTGCTGGTTAGCATCTCGTTAGATAATGCTTTCTGCTGTTAGTTTTTTTGGTCTTTTTGAGACGGGGTCTCCGTGTAACCCCAGCTGTCCTGGAACTCCCTATGTAGACCAGGCTGACCTTGAACGCAGAGATCCGCCTGCCTCTGCCTCCTGAGTGCTGGGATTAAAGGTGTGCGCCACCACACCTGGCTACTTCTTGCTTTTTAAATTTGTGACAAATTCATAGATTATAGAAAGCCTTTTCACTTTTTTGGGGGGGGGATTGTTTTTGAGACAGAGTCTTCCTGTAGCCCCAGCTGTCCTGGAACTCCCTATGTAGACCAGGCTGGCTTCGAACTCAGAGATCCCCCTGCCTCTGCATCCTAAGTGCTGGGATTAAAGGTGTGCACCACCACGCCTGGCTGCCTTTTCACTATTTAACCATTTTATAGTGACACTGTTAAATGTGCTGTTTGTAATGTACATGCACAGATACACAAATGCCTCAGAATTTTATTTTTGCTTTTCTATAACTATATAGTTGAAATATTGAATAAAATCTGTTTTCCCTTACCTCCTACCCCGTATTTTCTTGCCTTTTAAAAAATTTACTTTTTATCATTTTCATTGGAAATGCACTAAGTATATAAGATTAAGTACATTTTGTTATTATATTTAGACCTGGAAATAAAATACTGATTACTTTCTCATTTGTTTTCCTGCATCTTCCAGGAGCTCATTCACACGTGTGAACTTGTGTTCCATGTGTTGTAAATATGACAGGCTATATTTGCTATTTTCTGTTAGTGACATATATTCCCAACCTTAAAGCACTTGAACTATACTTTTTTTCTATTCAGAAAGGAAATTTTATTGTAGTTTAATGGACCTGTCACGTGATTGCTTTTCAGATTTATGTAGTCCGAATCTTAAGGGAAGGGCAGCTTGAACCGTCCTTTGTATTCCGGACATTTGATGAGTTTCAGGAACTTCACAATAAGCTCAGCATCATTTTCCCACTTTGGAAGTTACCTGGGTATGTTATTGCTGCTGTTATAAAAATTAATCCTTTTTCTTTTTCTATGGAGGAAACTATTTTTTCTCATGTGTAGGTGAGAAACTTTGTGTTAACATCTAGAGTTACAATAAGGAGTACTTAATGCAGAGCTGAAGACTGAGAAGGCGTTACATTTTTCTTGTTAAATGAGTAAACAATGAATATGTGATTAGAATATTAAAGCTGGGCCGGGCGTGGTAGTGCACATCTTTAATCTCAGCACTTGAAGGCAGAGACAGACAGATCTCTGTGAGCTCGAGGCCAGCCTGGTCTACATAGTGGGTTCCAGGACAGCTGGGGCTACAAGGAGACCCTGTCTCAAATAAGACAAAATAGATAGATAGATGATTGATTGATTGATTGATAGATAGATAGGTAGATAGATAGGTAGATGATAGATAGGTAGATGATAGATAGATAGATAGATAGATAGATAGATAGATAGATAGATAGATAGATAGATTAGGGTCCAGTGGTCATTCACTCAGGAGGTACAGGCAAGATAATCAGTGCAATTTCCAAGTGAGCCTGATTTCAGTGCCCCACTGTCTGGTACCAATTTCTGTCTTAGTTTGTTTCTTCATTGCTGTGACAAAACACTCCAAACAATACCAACTTGGGGAGGAAAGCGTTTATTTATCTTACATCTCCCAGGTCACAGTTCATCCAGGAGCCCAAGGTAGGAACCTGGAGGCAGGAGCTGGAGCACAGGCCATGGAGGAACGCTGCTTACTGGCTTGCTCCCCTGACCCCCTGCTCAGCCTGTTTTCTTAGGAAACACAGGCCCACCTGCCCAGGGGTGGTATCACCCACAGTGGGCTGGGTCCTCCCACATCATTCAACAATCAACAAGATGCTCCACAGACATGGCCACAGGCCAGTCCAATGGAGGCAATTCCCCAGTTGAGGCTCCCTCAACCCAGGTGTGTCAAATTGACACTAAAGCGGTAGGTTCCAGGCCAACCAGCGCTATATAGCAAGACCCTGTCTCAAAAAAAAAAAAAAAACTGCCAACCACAAACACAAACGCTCAAAATATAGAGCTTTTCAGACTCCTCTTTTAGGTTGTCACTTTGACTTTGTGGTCACTACCATAGTAAGAACCTAAGATAATGGAATCTTGGTTTTAAAGTCACATGCTACACCTGCAGAAATTCATATGAACCAGCGATACTGGCGTCCTGTGATAAATAATAAACTTGAGGGCTGGCATGATGGCTCAGCAAGTAAAGGCACTCGCCACTAAGCCAGAAGACCAGAGTTCAGTCTCGGAGCCCATGTGATAAAAGGAGGGAATGAGTGTTTAGAGTTGCCCTCTGACCTCCATGCATGCCCTGGGATGCTGCCCTCTACCTGCCTCACACACATATATAGACTGTTTTGTTTAAAAAAAAAAGAATTAGCTGGGTGTGGTGGCACATGCCCAGCAGAGGCAGGCGGCTCTCTGTGAGTTCGAGGCCATCTGGGGTTACAGGAAAACCCTGGGTCTCAAAAAGACAAAAAATTAAATGAAAGCAGATAACACTGAAATTCTTGGATGTAATCTTAATGTTTAGCTTTTTTAGGGTGTGGGGGGGCAAAGGAAATTTATTTTTTAGAATTACGTGTATGGTGTTCCTTCTGGAGCATATGTACTAAAATTGGAATGATATAGAGATCAGCATGGCCCTTGTGCAAGGACGGCATGCAGATTTGTGAAGGGCCCCATATTTAAATAAATAGAAATAATGTGTATGTGTGTGAATGTGAGTGTGGGTATGTTCAGAGGCCAAAGGCAATGGATCTCCTGGGTTCCCTGGAGTTACAGGCAGTTGTGAGCTGCCTGACATGGGTGCTGGGAACTGTACTCGGGTCTTCTGCAAGAGCAGTATATGCTTGTAACCACCAAGCTGTCTCTCCAGTCCCCAAGACTTAGGTTTTCATCTGATTTTTTTGTGAGCCTTCCATTTTACTGTAGCTTGCCACATTTTTCATGTTCTCCTCACACAAGACTTCAAAACAGAGCTTTCAGAATGAGTAACAGAATTTGTCACTGTGTGACTGATTTTTCTACCATGAGATGATGGCTTTGGCACCTGATTTAGGTGTCCTTAATGTATTTTATGAGGTCTACAACAGCTGTAGCTACTAATAATTTTTTTTTTTTTTTTTTTTTTTTTTTTTTTTTTGAAACGCTCTCCCCTTTGCCCCC